CGCAGGCTCAATCACATAAGCTTGCCCACATGTCAAAATGAAATTGGCAGTGTTCTCTACAAGTGCAACCACAGCAACTCCTTCAATAAGCTACGACGTATTGTAGCATATATGATGCGGTTCTGTAACAAGAAAAACAGATCACTCACAACTACATTGTGTGTCGGTGAGTTAACCAATGCAAGGACCATCATCCTGCGAACTATCCAGCAAATTGATTTTAGTGCTGAATACAAACAACTCCGAATCCACAAAACAGTGGACAAAAAGAGCTCGATTGTCTCCCTATGTCCTATAATCGGAAACGACGGACTTATCAGAGTTGGAGGTAGATTAGAAGAATCTAGCCTTCCATATAACGCGAAGCATCAAATTTTGCTTCCATACAACGATCCACTGGTGAAAATGCTACTGCGAGAGATGCATGAAGAGAACATGCATTGCGGGGCTCAAGCTCTAAGAGCCATTGCCAGACAACAATATTGGATTCTCAATGATAAAACAATGGCAAGAAGCATAATTCACAGCTGTGTCAGATGTACAAAGGCACGGCCCAAGTTGATGCAACAAATCATGGGCAACCTACCAGCTGACCGAGTAACACAAGCTCGGCCATTCTTTAACTCTGGTGTTGACTACTGTGGACCGATTTGGATTCATCACAAACTACGTGGAAAAAGACCTGATAAGGCATACATTGCAGTCTTCTGCTGTTTTGCAACAAAAGCAGTTCATCTGGAGTTAGTAAGTGACTTGACAACAGATGCATTTTTAGCTGCTCTTCGGCGATTTTTGGGTCGACGCGGAAAATGTCAGACTATTCACTGTGACAACGCAACAAACTTTGTCGGTGCCAATAATCAATTGAAGGTCCTAGAGGGAGCTATATTCACCGACAAGGCTCAAGAACAGATTATAAACCATTGCAATAAAAAGCAAGTGGAGTTTAAGTTCATACCGCCCCGAGCACCATCGTTTGGCGGGCTTTGGGAAGCTGCGGTGAAATCTGCGAAGCGGCTTCTAGTATCAGTCACAGCCACAGCGTCATTAACATTTGAGGAGCTTAACACCGTAATCGTGGAAGTCGAAGCAATCCTCAATTCCCGACCGCTGACACCAATGTCATCTGATCCAACAGATACATCAGCTCTGACTCCTGGCCATTTTTTGATTGGTGAACCGTTGACCGCCGCTCCCGATGCAAATCTAGCCTCACCAGGGAAAACGTTGGTGAAAAGATGGGAATTAGTGTCCAGATTAAAACAAATGTTCTGGGACCAATGGTCTATGGAGTATCTACAAGAGCTTCAAATGCGCAACAAGTGGAAAACCGCATCACAAAACGTGAAAGAGGGACTACTTGTGCTAGTCAAGGAAGACAACGTGCCTGTGATGAGTTGGCCAATGGGACGAATAGTGAAGACATATCCCGGTAAGGACGACCATGTCCGAGTAGTAGATGTAAAGACTGCATCTGGGATCTTCAAACGGTCAGTAACTCGTCTCGCGCCACTGTTAAAAGAAGAAACAGCCGTTAAACGTCCGCACAGTTCCATCGAAGATACAACGGCAAAGGATGAAATGCCTACACAGAGGAGGAAGATATCACCTTCGATCCTTCCAACCCTGCTGGCAATGTTACTCATTCTGCCACTAGCGTTGGGACAACAAACAAAGGTCACGCATTTCACAAATCAGCCAGGACTGTTCTATGAAAGAATCGGGACCTCTAGAATGGCAATTTCAGACTGGACCATCATTGTATATTACGACTTGCAACCATATTGGAGTGACATGAGAGTATTGGCTGCCGGGATAGCTGAACTCAAGCACAAGTGTTCAGAATTACAAAACGTTAATGCATGTAACTCTATATATGCACACTTTCAACATGTACATGCCGAATTACAAGCCGGAAATGAGCTTATTAACCACCCACGGCAGCGAAGATCACCGCTAGATATAGTCGGTAATGTGGCGAACTCATTATTTGGCGTGCTGGATTCCAAATATGCTGAAGATATGTCCAAGGTCATAAACGATGTCAAATCAAACGAGGACGTACTAATGATGCTATTGAAGAACCAAACATCAATCTTGGATTCCACTATAAATGTGGTAAGGAAAAGCAATTCAGCTACCAACGACCGCATACGAAACATAGAACGACAAATAGATGCTCTCACCAGAGAACGAGGAAAATATCAAGGCAACTATCTGCAACAAGCATTCATGATCCTGACAGCCCAGCTCACTCTACTGGCAAATGGAATGCAGCGAATGCAAAATGAGATAACCAACGTTCTTACAGACATTCGCCACCGAACAATTAGCCCCATGCTAGTTTCTCCCCAACAATTAAGGGATCAACTTGATCAGATTAGGGAGCACATCCCACCGGATCAACAGCTGCCAGTCTCTTCAAATGACGTAATACAACTCTATCGAATCATGCATGCCGAGGGAACAACAACCACTGACCATGTTATCTTCAAAATAACGCTGCCATTAGTATCCACAGCGCAGCAAGAAGTTTTCAGCGTCATCCCCATCCCTGCATGGAAGGCAGGAAGCTGGCATGAATTCAAGCTCAAAACAAGGATCATAACTGTCAATGCCCATAGAGATCAATTCATGGGACTAACTACTGACGAGTTTGATCAATGTCTACAATTGCCAAAGGATGAACACATATGCGTCAATCATCAAGCTACGTTTAGCGTAGATAATCGATGTGAATTTCAGTTGTTCAATAACAAGACTGAAACGGAATGTGAGACTGCTAAATCGAAGTCCGATTTAATATGGTCAGCAACACATCAACGAAACAGATGGATGTTTGCAACCCACAGTCCGATCGAACTGCAGGCGGTATGCACGGGAGTTCCCTCCACAGTACAAATGGAAGGAACAGGCTTACTATCACTCGCCGCAGGTTGCACGGCACGCAACTCAAAAATCAGCGTTAGTACATTTAGCACAAGCCGCAGCGAGACAAAAGCAGCATATGTTCGTTTTGGCAACATCACCAAGATAAACATAGAAGAGACACCGAAACCAGGCGTAGAATCGACGACCAAGACAGCCGACGCCGAATTACGCGAATTAGATGCCCTACAACAACAACTGGCCAAACTAAAGGATGCGAAGTACGAAAATCAAGTCAGCATTGTACACCATCATCAAGTAGCCGCCTATGTGGCACTATCAATATCAATACTACTGATCGTGACCCTGAGTCTACGATATCGACGAGGCAATTGGAGAACACCACAATGCGGCCCCAATCCCCGGACAACAAGTGACCAGCCAGCACCCGAACCTACCCCACGGAGTTTTTCGTTCGACATTACTGAAGGTTGAACACCCGTTCAACGGCCGGGAGAATGTTCAGTCGCTACAATATATATATAATTCATAATCATAACATTACATAATCTGTAATTCGTCAGTCACAGCACTCTCATATGCAGCCAAAATAAAGTATAGATTACCAGGTCAAGCGCATATGTAGATTCTGCTGACGACGATGAAGTGGAATGGAGCAATAGCCTCATTCTGCATATACCATTACAACCTACATTATTCTTGCACATCAACATTTGTAACCAGAAGCATATTCGTTTCCGCATGCACTAGCAACCTACATTATTCTTTATCATTAATATTCGTAAATGCAATCACATTTGTTAGCTATAAATATCGTTAAGTTTGAATCAATAAAGTCAGTAATCATCTGCAATTCAAAGAGATTTTTACTCCTCCAACTGCAGTCCACCTAGTTCAAGTGCTGGGTGCGACACAAACAAGGCAATTAGTTTATGTGCTATTTTGCCAGGCATCGAAGCCTACTCACACTAACAAACACTCATACAAACAACCAGTAATATATTTTCTTCCTTTGTCACACCTCACCCGCACGTTACAGGTAGAGGGGAAAATCGTTGAGCACGTGCCGGCGGCGATGAACTCGTAGCTCGGGAGAACCCAGCAGCCCCGATGCCCCACGCCAGATCTGTTCCCGGGAGAACCCAGCGGCGACAAATCCCGTTCCCGTCCCGCTTCTCCGGCCCGGAGCTTGCCCAGCGGCCACGCGAAGTTGGTGCGGGAGAACCCAGCCACCAGCTCGGCGAGTGAGTGAGCGGGAGGGGAACACTTTGGCGCGCGTCACGATAAGGAATTATTTTTAACAACGCGGAGTTTTATGCGGGTGCGAGGGAGAAAGACGATGGAATTTCTGAATTCATTTTCTGTGCTTTATTACATTAATTAATTATTGTCTACGTTTTCCTAACCTATGACTGCCGTCCCTAACCTGGCCCTACGCCACACTCCAGTAAACGCTACTCTGACATGGCTCGCAGCCGGCTCACCCGCTGTTATCGGTGGACTGGGACACGTGTCCTGCAGCCAGGATATGCAAGGGCACTCGCGTGTCCCTTTTGGGACTTAGTCGTTTGGGGAAAACCACGTGTCCTTTGAGGACTTGCCGCCCGCGGCGGGAGAGATGCGTAACGATCGCCTTCGAAGCTGCCAGAGAAGAGATCGCGGTCGCAGCTTGCAAAGCCCTTGTCACCTCGTCTCTGCCAAAAATGTCCGGGCAGCGCAGCTTTTCGGCCGTCGGCTTTGTTATTGTTATTGTTTATGTTTTGATCGGCATGTAGAAACACACGACCTAGACGTAAACACGCACGATCGTCGGAGGGGAAATGTCGCTGCCTCTGCCGCTGTTCGCGTCGGCAGCGGAGAGGGGAAATGTCTTCAGCGCGGTCGCTACAGTCCGTGTTGGAAAAATGTATACGCCTGTGCGTTGCGGTCTTAATCTAACTCTAATTTGGCCCTTCTTGGGCAACTTAACTTTGTGTGTGTGAGTGTTTGTGTGGGGTGTGGGTGTGTGGTATGGCTAATCCTAACTTACTTATTGCTAAACTTAACTATAAACTTAACTAATATTTACAGTATTTACAAAATAGGGTTTTGTGACTTCGTCACACTCCACCCTATCTTCGGGAGGGATGGAGAGTGACGATTACCTTCCCACTTCGGTTTATCTGGACGCGGAAGCGTTGGTTCGCCTCCTCCTCCAGGATCCGGATCGTCCGTCGCCTCGGTACTGCCAGGCGCCCGTGTATCCGGCGAAGCAGGGCGGCCGGCAATGTGCCGTTGGGTGTGGTCCACTCTACTGGGGCCGGTGCCCAGCGGGGAGGGTTGAGGGCTCCCTCGTCGGCGTCCGATGATGACTCGTCGGATGAGCTGGGCGGGCTGTCTGCCCGTGGTGCGCTCCGGCGCCGTGCTCGGCGGCGCGGGGTCGGTGATGGTGGGCCATTCGTTGGCGGTTGGGCAACCGGTGGGTTGCCGAGTTCCTCGCTGACGTCCTCCGCTCTTCGGCGCGCCTCTTCTGCGGCCAGCTCCGCAATGGTGGGCAGGCCGGGTCGAGGATCGCGGCTGGGGGTCACCGCGGCGCATCGGGCGGTGATGTGAGGACCGGCGTAGGGACCTGGGCCAAATATCTCCTCGTACGAGGGCGGAGGAGATCGGCTGCGACTGGTGGTGGCTGGGGCCCGGCCTTGTAGCGGCGAAGATCCAGCCACGGTCGCCACGGTGGGCGACTTCTGGATGGAGTCGTTGTGGCCCAATGGGGCCGATGTGCCTGGGCACTAGGGCGGCATTCCCCGTGCAGATGATGGCCGTAGCTCGGCGTGGTCATCCGCGTTCACCCCCTCCTCGTCATCGCCGCGGTGGTGGGCGACTTCCAGAGGGAGTGGTCGTGGCCCGCTGGGGCTGGTATGCTGGGACGCCATGTCGTCGGCGTCGATGGTGATGTCCTCGACGGGTAGAGCCCGTGGCCGGAAGGGGTCGGCGAGGCTGTCGCTGGGAAGCGGCTGGCTTGGCCGGCGCCGTGGAGCGCCTGTAGGAGCTCGTCGACCGCACCGTACCTCCATGCAGTGTCCTGTGGCGCCGGGGCGGGAGTCGGCGGATGGCCTTGTCCGTCCATCGTCTGGTTGGCCTCGGTGGGGGCGGAATCTGTGGAGCGCGTGGCTCGTCGTGCCTTGTGGTAGGCGGGCTGAAGGCGGTTGTCGCTGTTTAAGGGGTTGATCGGTGCGCATGAAGACGCGATGCTCTGCGATGTGTGATACCCCTGAAAGAGTATCAAATTTGGCCAGTTCCTGGTCCAGAAACTCCTTCACCCAAGGCTCGGGGAAGTCCTGCGTCTCGGGTTCCTTTGTCTGGAAAGAGACCTGATCTTTTGTGGGATGACTCACCGAATTGACGGTTCCGCATAGGGGCGGGCTTGGCTCCGGCGTTTCCTCGACGTGATCCTGGAAGCGGACACGTTTTGTGGAGGTACGGAAGGGATTCCGTTGCGCGGCTGTGGCATCTGCCACGGGCAAAGCCTGTCTCCAACAGGGCGGCTGGTTCTCCGTTGCTGGTGATGTTGTGCCTCGAAACAGTGCTCGAGGTGAGGTACTTGGCTGGTCGTCGAGTTCGGAGCATGGCTCCCTTGGCTGCCCTCGATGGGTAGAGCGTGGCTCTCCTTGGGCTGTCGTCTGTGGCTTTTCGGCAGGGGTGGAGTGTGACTCCGTTGTCGTCCTTCGCTGATCAGAGTGTGACTCTGCGTGGTGTGCCGTTGATGGCTCTTCGTGGTTGGAGTGTGACTCCGTCGATGTACTTCGCTGTTCAGAGCGTGGCTCTGAGTGATGTGCCGGGGATGGCTCTTCGTGGTTGGAGCGTGGCTCCCTTCGCTGGTCAGAGCGTGGCTCTGTCGTTGGTCTTCGCTGGTCAGAGCGTGGCTCTGTCGTTGGTCTTCGCTGGTCAGAGTGTGGCTCTGTCGTTGGTCTTCGCTGGTCAGAGCGTGGCTGTGTCGTTGGTCTTCGCTGGTCAGAGCGTGGCTCTGTTGTTGGTCTTCGCTGGTCGTTCGGTCGCAGTCGGAGGGTCTGTCCGCCGCAGAGCAGGGTTGCTCCGATTCCGCAGAGGAAATCCATTCCTAGGAGTATGTCGTCCAGTGCGTCCGACATCACGAGGAGAATGGTGGGCGTTCGTTCACTTCCAAGGTAGATATTTGCCGCCAGAGCTCTGGCTGCCGCGAGAATGCTATGAGCTGCGCACGTTGCTCGTCTACCGTGCCGCTTCGATCGAGTCCGAACTCGCCGAGGATGGTGTTCACACATGAACACGTATATATGTATGTATATAGATAAGAACGCATCTGTTAAGCATTAAATAAATCTCTGTCGCAGTGCACGGTCTAACACTTGTGTGCATAGCTATAAGAAACCGCCACTTGAGCCTATGTAACAAGTAACCCGAAATATGACCTCCTGTGAGCGGTCTGGGTTTGTTTAGGATATTTACGATCGGGTTGACATGTGCACCCTTATCGCTTAGAATATTTCTCACGATCGGGAACTGTCCGATGCGTGGGTCTAGAACTAAGATCTACAATGTACATTCTCATGTTAGCTATATAAGCTAGGGTTTGAATGAAATAAAATCAGTTTCTTACAAAAACTCAACACATGAAGACTTCTTATTTATTTTGGAGCTCTTTCATTTTGGTCCTTCGACCGCTCTGCAACTTTCCCCCCTGTGGTAAGAGGTTCAGAGTTTTAAACCAGCACCTTAAAAGATTAAGGCTGCAAAAATAAAGATCTCTTGTTTCCCCCACCCGTGGTAAGGAACAGAGAATAATATTATAAAACAAAAAAACACAAAAGAGTTTTTTATGTTTAAATTGAAGCACCTTTAGGCTTGACATAGCTAAAGGTTGCTGTAATACCATTGGAATATATGGTTAGGAGGCGTACTGAGGCCTTTCTTTGAAAATAAAGAAAAACATCAGTAGTGAATGTGATACCATTGAGATATATGGTTAGAAGGCGTACTGAGGCCTTTTTTTGAAAAGAAAAATAAAAAAAAAAAAAAAAACATCAGTAGTGGAGTGCATTAAAATCAAAAAAAAAAAAAAATTTTTGGAAAGAAAAATAAAAATATAATGAACAAAATCTAACTCCCAGTGCTCGACGAAAAAGAAAAAAAAAAGAAGAAAAGTGAAGCAGTGCAAAATTATTCAGCAACGGCGGCAAATACAGCCGCAGCAAAAAAAAAAAAATCCTACAACTAACAACAACGGCGGCAAATACAGCCGCAGCAGCAAAAAAACTGACTACGGCGGCAACGACTACTGCGCAGCAGCGACGACGACTACAGCGACTACGGCGGCAGCGACTACGGCGGCAGCGACTACGGCAGCAGCAACTACAGCGGCAGCGGCAACAACGACAGCGGCAGAAAAAAAGATAAGAAACAAATTTACTATATACTAAAATTATAAGTTAAAAAAATATATATATATAATAGTAAGATAAATTTGATAAAAAAAAAAAAAAAGAAGATGTTGTCCGAGCAAATTTTGAGCCTGCTGAAAAGGCAGTCAGAAATTAATAAGGTCTGTGGGGAAATCCTAAAGGGAGAGGTAGTATTGTCAAGTCAGGAAATAAAATCTGTGAATGAGTTCGAGAGAGAAGCTCAAACCAATCACAAAATGCTAGTTAGATTAGGCCCCATAGACCATGAATATTTTAGCAAAAAAAGTTATGACCGAATATTTGATGCCTTTAGACAAATTAGAGAAAAAATCGCGGAGTCAGTTAAGAAGAGTCAAAGTAGTCAAGAGGATCACAAGCATCCGTTTTTAGAGCAGCAAATTCTGAAACTTAGGGATTACCTTGAGGAAACGTATAGGGATATACAGAGCCAGAAACGCGAAACCTTGCGTATAAGAAAAAATAAAATATATTTCCTCTGGCAAAATATTTCCGACCGCAAAAAGGAAGTAGGAGCGTGTAGCTTAAGCTTGGAGTCAGCACTATATGAGTTAGAATTTGACGTTCAAAATATCTCATTGGAGATAAATGAACAATTAAAGGAGAGGGTCGGAGAAAAAGTTGAGGGTACTTACACCACCCCAGAACTACCGACCCTACCAAAAATTGAGGTTCCCACCTTTGGCGGTGATGCCAAAGAGTGGGACATATTTCATGATTTGTTTATGGAATTAATTCATTCTAGGGAAAGTCTTAGCACTTCCCTAAAATTCAATTATTTAAAATCAGCCTTAAAAGGTGAGGCAAGAAACGTTGTAGCCCATCTGTTAATGGGTACAGCGGAAAATTATGAGGCCGCTTGGGACCTTCTAACCAAGCGGTACGAAAATAAGAGAAAAATATTCTCTGACCAATTAAATCGCCTAATGGATTTGTCAATGTTGAATATTGATTCCGTTAGGCAGATTAAATTATTTATAGACACAATAAATGAAGCGATACACATTTTAAAACTGAAGGCTAATCTGTCCGATGAAGTTGATGTGTTGTTTGCTCACATTGTGCTCAGAAAATTTAATACTCAGACTCTTCAGTTATATGAGAGTCATATTAAAAAAACCAAAGACATCCAGCAATTAGCCGATGTAATAGAATTTTTAGAGCAGCGGCTGAGTTCCACTAGCTCTGTACAGGAAGAAAAACCTGTCAATAGAAATTTTAATTTTTCAAAAAGTTTTGCCAAAAATAATTATGGCTCGAAAAGAAACGAATTTTTAAATATGAATGAAGGAAAGTGCCACATCTGCAAAATGATGGGTCACATTGTAACGCAGTGCCACAAATTTAAGGGTATGAATCCCACAGAACGACTAGAAGTCGTAAGAAAGGCACAAGTATGTATAAAGTGCCTGAAGCATTCAGACAGCAGAAGATGTGCCAGCGAAAAATTGTGTTCGTTGTGCAATAGAGGGCATCATACAATGCTGCACATAAATTCCCAAAAAAGGGAAAAAGTAAATACCTGCGTGACTTCGAGTCAGGCGTTGCTTGCAACAGCAAGAATCAAAGTAAAATCGGCAAATGGCGATTTTAAAAATTTAAGAGCTCTGATAGATAGTGGATCTCAAACCACTATCATATCAGAGGAGGCAGTGCAAACTTTAAAGCTGCCTCGAATAAAAGCAAAAACAGAAATTAGTGGAATTTCTTCAACAGATAGATGTATATCAAAACATAAAATTAAATTGATTATAAACGGCTTCCACTCAAGTAAGCCATTGATAACTGAGGCAATAGTATTGCCAAAATTAATGAAAGCCCTACCTATAAATAAGGTAGAGGTGGACAAGTCTAAGTGGCGAAACTTTATATTAGCTGACCCGGACTTTAATAAGCCAGGTCGAGTGGATATAATTATTGGAGCGGATTTATACACGCACGTCATAAAAAAAGGATTGAGTGTTAGACCGTGCACTGCGACAGAGATTTATTTAATGCTTAACAGATGCGTTCTTATCTATATACATACATATATACGTGTTCATGTGTGAACATTCCCTGCAGTACCACATTTCATCAATAGGCCTTTTCATCAACAAATCATCAACGCGCCGACTGCGACGCCGACAGAATCGACGCTCTGCCGACTGCTACTTGAACCCGAACTCCCTTCGGAGACCCGAACTCCCTTCGAGTCCGATTTGTCTGTGCATGCAAAAAAAAAAAACAATTTGCATGGGCTTTGTTTTTCGAAGTCCGAAACAAAGTAGAAGACGCAATTAAAATAGATTCTCGAAGGTTCGACTCCATATTTTCGGAGCAGCGGTTTTCGGTTTCGTCTTGCTTCTTCTTATTTCCTTTGCATTAGAAGTTGAAGTGCTCTGCACTGCAGAAGTGTCGTGTGTTTCATTAATTAATAAATAAATTATTAAATAAATTCGTTCCGGGCCTTATTGGAATATATAAAAAGGTGAATAAAGTGAAGTGTTTTTAATTAAATAAAAGCCTATGTGTATTATTTTATTTATTATATATTATATTTGTTTATAAATGAATCCGCCTTAGTGTATACTGTTTAATATAATTTTATTTATTTCCGAACAATTACATTTAATATTGTCGACCGCGCTGCGTTAGATTGCATTGAGAGCAAAAATGTGACTGACTAAGCTTTGGCTATGCACGTCATTCGATTATGCTAGTCGAAGACGTAAACAAGTTACAGTTAGGAGTTAGAAATGAATGGAAAATTACTGGGCAAAAGCTCGCGCGCATGTGCAGCGATGCGCTGCTCGCTTAGCGACCGCTGATAAGGCCGCCGGCAGCGGCGATCAAAACAAAGAGCGCGAAACCCAATACAGGGTGTCTCGTTCCCAAACATACCGGCCCCCCTGAACGGTCGTTCAGCACAGAGGCAAGACAGCAATTTTGGTAATTGGGCGTTTGTAGAATCCGTGGGCCGTCTTTACTGTTACGACCCGTACTTTGTCATCTGATCCTGCGTGCACCTCGCTGATGCGTCCAAGAATCCATTTAGAGGGAGGTAGATTAGGCTCCTTGAGTACCACCAGTGTGTCGATCTTCAGATTCTCAGTTTCTAGATGCCATTTTGTGCGTTCGTGAAGCGATGTCAGGTATTCCATATGCCACCGTTTCCAGAAACCTTGGACCATAGCTTGCAGCTGATTCCACCTCTCCAGTCGATTGATTTGCATATCCAGACGGCAGGGTTCAGAGAGGGCAGTATAAGGAGCTCCAGTCAGGAAATGAGCGGGAGTCAGCGGGTCCAACGAATTATCCCCATTTGGGCACAGTGGGCGAGAGTTGAGGATGGCTTCAATTTGGGTCAAAACAGTCGCTAGTTCCTCAAACGTGAGTGCCTTGGATCCAAGTATCCGTCGCATATGAAGTTTTATGGAACGAACGCCGGCTTCCCACATTCCGCCAAAATGAGGGGCAGATGGGGGTATGAAGTGCCAAGAAATGCCTTCGTTGGCGAAGAATCCAGCCAGTTCCTCATCTTTTGATTGTTCGATGACTAGGCGTCGCATGTCGTCCAAAGTTTGCTTTCCGCCATGAAATGTGGTTCCGTTGTCCGAGTACAGATCGGTGGGCTTTGTTCGTCGGGCAATAAATCGTTGAAAGGCGGCGATGAAGGCCTTTGCAGTCAGATCACTGACGACCTCGATATGGATTGCCTTTGTAGTTAGGCAGACAAAAATAGAAAACCATGCCTTTCCGATCCGAGGAGTTCGTCCTGTTGATTCCTTGATGGCGATCGGTCCAGCGTAATCCAGCCCTGTATGTTGGAAACAGCGACTAGCCTGAACTCGAGGGATTGGCAGCTCTCCCATGATCTGGTTACTGGTGCCTTTGCGTTGAAGAAAGCAGCGTTTGCATTGGAAAACTGCCTTTCTGACCAGATTGCGTGCACCCAGAATCCAGTACTGCTGACGAAGATTGGTGAACGTAGCATCAACTCCAGTGTGTAGATGTGAAACGTGAAAATGTCGAACCAGGAGCCCAGCTAGTGGTGAATCCTTTGGTATTAGGATTGGATGCTTGGCGTTGAAGTTGATTGTCGATTTGTCGATTCTTCCACCGACTCGCATAATTCCATGATCGTCCAGAAATGGGGAGAACCGAATTAAATGCGATTTAGCATTAAGCGGGCGTCGATTCTCTAGCTGCGCATATTCTCTGGCAAAGAAATTTTGTTGCACGTGTCGGATGAGTCGGCATCGTGCGGCCTGCAACTCTTCGGATGTAAGGAATGGTGCCGGATTCCTATGACGAGATCGAAGAGAGTGAATAAAGCGATAACAGTAGCTAGATACCCTTAGCAGACGCGTCCAGGTTGAGAATTTGTGGATGAGTAACTCGTAGATACTTTCATCAGGAAAGTTATGTAGAGTTGTGGGCTTGACAGCTCTCTCTTCGGTGTTGACATCGAGATTTGAAGATACGCTGAACTTGCTTGTAGACGGTGGCCAATCAGAGGGCGGTGTGGCCAGCCATGATGGACCCTTCCACCACAGTCGATGCTCCAGAAGCTTGGACGGATGAAGTCCTCGAGAAGCACAGTCGGCAGGGTTGTCCTCTGTGCGAACATGATTCCAGCAGCTGCGAGGAAAGTCGTTCAAGATCTCAGCCGTTCGGTTGCAGACGTATGTGTTCCAGTTTCGTGGGGGAGCTGAAAGCCAGTGTAGCACAATTTCTGAATCTGTCCAGCAGCTCGTGCTGAAAATAGGAATCGTTAGTGAGGCTTTGACAATCGAGAGCAATCGAGAAAGAAGTAGAGCAGCATTCAGTTCCAGACGTGGGATCGAAACAGGCTTGATCGGGGCTACACGGGTTTTGGCAGCAACTAGGGTGATTTGAAAACTGCCTCCATATGCTACTCGAGCGTATACAACCGCACCGTAGGCTTGCGCGGATGCGTCGGCGAATCCGTGTAGTTGAACGTCTTGGAATGGTGACGCAATGTATCGTGGTACTTGACATTGCGTAAGTGTTGGCAAATCCTCCACCAAGGCCTTCCAGCGCGAGCGTAGAGTTTCAGGAATCGGGTCATCCCATTGCAGAACACTTGTCCAGCTTTCTTGGAAGATAAGCTTGAGTAGAACTGTGACTGGCGCTACCAATCCAAGCGGGTCATAGATTCTTGATAGCTGCGACAAGAGTTCCCTTTTCGTCGGAGAAATGGTCGGATCGCACTCCTTGATATTGAGGTACATGACGTCCTTTCCGGGATTCCATTGGATGCCAAGAATTTTGATTGGTGAATCCGCAGCTGATTTGTTGAGGAGCTGGATAGGCTCATAACATCGGTCCTCTTCTGGCAATGATTTTAGAAGACGCCAACTGTTGGAACTCCATTTCCGTAGTTTGAATTGCGCCTTATCCAACAGTTGAATCAGCTCGTTTTTGAGAATCATGAGCTCGTCGAATGAGTTGCACCCTGTTGGGATATCATCTACATAAGCGTCGTGTAGAAGCGCGTGGGCTGCTGCGGGGAACTCGTGGCGGTGATCCTCAGCTAGTTGCTTAAGAACTCGAACAGCCAGAAATGGTGACGGCGCCAATCCGTAGGTGACCGTCAACAGGCGAAAATGAAGCAGTGGTTCATTCTCGTTCTTGCGCCAAACAATGCGCTGATAATTGGTGTGCGGCTTGAAGACTTGAATTCCTCGGAACATCTTCTCGATATCCGCGC